TATTATTATTATTAGAAACTAAAACAAAGTAGTATTTAGATGGATTAAAATAAAAATTTATAACGAACAAAAATTGCAAAGACTAAAGTAAAAAAGACGTGTTTACATAAAAAGATATTCAAGCGCTACATCATATTTGATTGATAAATAAATGTATGAGTATTTAACCAATTCTATCTAATTTTTTCTTTTAATCTACTGTTACACTGTCATAAACATTCAGGTTATATTCAGTTATTTGTGTTAAAACATCAATTCAAAGGATATTAAAAAAATATTGTAAAAAATAAATTAAATATGATTTTAATTCCGTAAATTTATTAACGATGAAATAAGTATTTACTTTAATTTTTTAACTTAAAAAATGAGTAAATCTAATTATTTTAATTAAACTTTGTTAAATTTATCTTACGTTCCAAAAGCATTTCGTAATAATATTTGAACGGTTAATTAAGAAATTCATAAAAAAAACGTTAAATAAATTTAATAAAATTTAAATTAAAAAAATTAAATTTATATATTCGTAAAGAGAATAAATTAGTCAAAAATTTCGAAAATAAATTAATTTTAATTTTTATTAAAAGTTAAGGAAAAATTAATATATTTAACTTGTAAAAAAATATCATATTAATCACTTTAGATGAAATATGTAACGAGATTGTTATTTAAACAAACAAAATAAAAATCAGTGAGCTTACATAGGTCATATAACAACAAAGAGAAAGCTTTGTCCAGGACGAAAGTGATTTCAAAATTTACAACAANGTATAGAACTATACTATCATTGTCTCATGGATGTGAGGTCCCAGAACTTGAGTTTCACTGCTAACCCTTCTGCAAATGCTTTCAAGAATTTGGGTAGCTCGATGCAAGTTGAAGTAACGGAAGCTGACTGTAGTACAAATGATATCTTACAATTTGATTCCCCTAGTTCTTCAATTTCAAAGGGAATGAAAAGAAAGTGGGGTTTAATTGATGGATATATTGGGCAAAGCACTTGCTCTTCTATGTTTCTTGGACTTGGACTTTCAACAAGTTCCTCTGACAGCAAGGAGAGTTCAGCTACTTCTTGCACTGCTATATCTTCAGTCAAAGAGATTGATGAGCAATCATCTATGCCTATGGATATTGAACTGGACTTTACCCTTAATCTTGACTGTGAGAAGGTAGAGAGCCCGAAAAAACTTGTTAGTTCAAATTTGAAGATAGTTGAGTTGCAGCCAAAACTTGATTTGGAGTTAAGCCTTTCCACACAGCCCTCCAAATCGGATATTACCAGTGTTTGTGTAAGTCCCTCTCAGTCTCCACCTCTTCAGTTGAACTTGGAGATCCCATTAGTACTCAGCACGACACCACCAAATGTAGATGAGGGATCAACTTCATGTAGATTGAAACTAGGGCTTGTTTCACTTGATCCAGGTGCTAGTGTAATGTTAAACCGGACCGAAAAGAAGGTTATGGATCCCTCACCTAACAAACTGAAAAAAAATTTAACCTGTACTTCTAGACTAACACAGCTAAAACAACCACTACACTGCAACAGCAATTCTACGACATGTCAAGTTGAGGGATATGGAAAGGGATACCAAGGTGCTTCTGGACTTTGTATATCTCATGGTGGTGGCAGGAGGTTTAACAAAGCCGGAAGCAAAAAAGGAGCCGAAGGCTGGACGTTGCACTGCAAGTCTTGTGGAGGAGGCAGGCGATGTGAATATTTTGGCTGCACTAACAGCACAGTAGGACATACAAATTTCTGTATTGCTCATGGTGGTAGCCAGCGATGCAGTCATCATGAGGGATGCATCCAAGCTGTCCGTGGGAAATCTGGATTGTGTATTTGGCATGGCCGTGGCAAGAGACATCAAACAGAAAAATGTACTAAGAATGCAGAAGGCTTAGCTGGTCTGAGCATCTCATATGGTGGAGGGCATCAATGTCAAGCTTCTGGTTGCACTAAAGGGGCACAGGGAAACACTATGTTCTGCAGAGCGCATGGTGTGGAAAAACGCTGTACAGCACCAGGGTGCACCAAAGATGCTAAGGGGACCACTCCACTTTGCAAAGGCCATGGTGGAGGAAAATGCTGTGCATACCAGGGTGGTGGAATTTGTACCAAAAGTGTGAATGGAGGTGCCAACTTTTGTGTGGCACATGGAGGTGGAATGAGGTGTGCTGTACCTGATTGCTTGAAAAGAGCTAGAGGACGAGTTGATCTTTGTGTACGTCATGAGGGAGGCAAGAGATGCAAGTTTGAAGGGTGTGGAAAGGGTGCACAAGGTGCCACCAACTTTTGTGAGACACGTGGAGGAAGGAAGAGATGTTCTTGGGGACATCCTGAGTCAGAATATATCAATCAACAGGCCGACCCTTCTTATTCCTTGGCAAGGGGGAAGACAGCTCCGTCCGCACTTCATAGTGGGCTAGTGCTGGATAAGAGAGTTCATGGAGGCGTATCCTCGGGACCAGTTATTCAGGATACTCGTGATAAACTGGGCGAACTGAAGCAGATTGTCATTAACCAAGATATGGATGTGGATATGATCAAAATGGGTAACCCACAGAAAGATGGTGTGACAACCTGTTCTGATGCTAAACTAAATGAAGTTGCCAGTACTCATCTTCCACCGGGGGAAGAAGATCATACATCAATGTTGGTAGCTGTTCCCGAAGGCAGGGTGCATGGTGGAAGTCTGATGGCAATGCTGAAGGGGAATTCTAGCCTTGGGAAAGGCCTATTGAGTGATCCCTCAGAGATAAATAAAAGCTTGCATGGTGTCCCAGAATAAAATTTGAGGCTAGTTATTGCTTTTGTTGCCTTCCACTCACTTCAGAAATTTATCTTCGTGTTTACTTCTAACCTCTAAGTTTGAATTGAGTCGTTGTCTGATATCTGTCTGTCGTGACAACGGAGAGAAACGAGTGGAAGGTATGGAAGGGTAGGACCTTATACTTTGATTCGGTAGTTGGTGCTTTTCTTTCTTTCCTCATTTCTCCTTGTGTACATGTTATCTATCAATTTGTGAGAGCAGGTTGTTACGAGTAAAGTCTGTCAGTGTGACCTTGTATAATGTTTTTAAGAATGTCTCTTTAATGAATGAGATATAACATGCTATAGCACTTCTTGACAAGACAGTGTTTGCTCCTATTTGGTAATTTGAACTGTTGTCATACTTTTAATAAACGTGTTGATTATATTCTGTATTTTTCTGTAATTAGTTGTGCGTATTAAATTATTCTTTAGTCTTTGTTTTTAAGCGCGTTATTGAAGTTGTAATTTTGGAAAAGAATTAAAATCAATAATTTGACTTATTGGACCCCACAAATATAAAAAGCGATGGAGATTTTCTCGTAAAACCTTTTTATAAATACTCTACTTTGCTACTCTACTTCTCATTTGACTTAAATAACATTTTAGTTTCTGTGAAATAAGAGCCTTTGGTTATTCTTGAATATTTTTGTTGTTTTGGTTATTAATTTTTTTGGGCAAAATGTTCATACCATTAGTCTAGATTATTCATTAAGGCACTTGATCCTCTGCAGCGGTGATAACCATTTGATTTATCCAATGATTATTAAAAATAAGAGCGTAAACATCCGATTAAATAAATAGTTATTAAAGTTTAATGCTTTGTTTTAACGTCTGCAAGGTTGTAGAGAATTTTTACTCTTCATTGGCTGATGATATGACTAATAGTGATGAAGTCAGGGTTTCATATTACTAATTACTGTACACCACTGAAGTCATTAAATATCATATCGATAAATGTTATTAAAATGTCAAATTAGTTCATAATGTTATGATTAAAACTGTGAAATCATCGTCATCGTAAAATTATTACTATTATTATTATTATTATTATTATTATTATTATTATTGTTATTATTATTATTGCTATTATTATTATTATTATTGCCATTATTATTATTATTATTAGAAACTAAAACAAAGTAGTATTTAGATGGATTAAAATAAAAATTTATAACGAACAAAAATTGCAAAGACTAAAGTAAAAAAGACGTGTTTACATAAAAAGATATTCAAGCGCTACATCATATTTGATTGATAAATAAATGTATGAGTATTTAACCAATTCTATCTAATTTTTTCTTTTATTCTACTGTTACACTGTCATAAACATTCAGGTTATATTCAGTTATTTGTGTTAAAACCTCAATTCAAAGGATATTAAAAAAATATTGTAAAAAATAAATTAAATATGATTTTAATTCCGTAAATTTATTAACGATGAAATTAGTATTTACTTTAATTTTTTAACTTTAAAAATGGGTAAATCTAATTATTTTAATTAAACTTTGTTAAATTTATCTTACGTTCCAAAAGCATTTCGTAATAATATTTGAACGGTTAATTAAGAAATTCATAAAAAAAACGTTAAATAAATTTAATAAAATTTAAATTAAAAAAATTAAATTTATATATTCGTAAAGAGAATAAATTAGTCAAAAATTTCGAAAATAAATTAATTTTAATTTTTATTAAAAGTTAAGGAAAAATTAATATATTTAACTTGTAAAAAAATATCATATTAATCACTTTAGATGAAATATGTAACGAGATTGTTATTTAAACAAACAAAATAAAAATCAGTGAGCTTATATAGGTCATATAACAACAAAGAGAAAGCTTTGTCCAGGACGAAAGTGATTTCAAAATTTACAACAAATTTTTTTTTCTCGATTATTACAAGTCTATTCACTATACTAAAAAAGTTGTATACATTTAGTTTAGTTATAATATTAGGGTTATACTATTGTCCTCTGTGTATATATTTGTGATTTTCAAATAGACATGCTGTATATTGCATAACGTACTTTTATTACCTTAATTTTGTTTAAAATAATAGAGTTCCTATATTGACTATTACTTAATCTTATTAACCTAACTTAACAATGCAGACTTGAATTTGGCCATCTTGGATAACTCATGAACAGCCTCTACCAAATGCTCAACTCTTGCCACAAACTCCATCAGAGAGGAAGCAAAGTTAGTGAATGACAACATTGCTGCACTTTCCAAGGCTCTCAACTTTACGTTATTCTCACTGTCTTCTTCAAAAGCATCTGCTTCTCTCGGTGGCCAAGAATATAGCCTTCGCAATTGCTTCCCTGTCATCTCATTGTAACATTCCACTTCTTCTTCCATCATCTCCCTCTGATATGGTAAATGGTAGAACATGTGTGAAATGTTTGCAGAGGTCTTTAAAGGGTTATCAAAAGTTGATGCCAGCATATAAGAATATTGGAAGCACATACAACTCTGCAATCTCTTGACACAGTTTTGAAGCCTTTTAATGTGGGAATCTTTCAGACTCCACTGCATGTGGCTAATGTCTCTTCCCAAAACTCTTATTACTTCTGCAGCTTCCTTTGATGCTTCTTCAACTTCTGATTCAAGCCCAACCCTCCATTTGTAGGGTACCTGATAACCACCACTTTCACTGCTTACAACTCTTATACTTCCTTTTTATCTTAAATGTCATTTTCAACAAAAGTTTAATATGTTTCCATTTAATCTTAGGTTTAACGTTTCAATAGGTCCTTCTTTTCGTCCAAAATCTCAAATAGGATCCTTTCTGTTTTGGCGTTTCAATTGGGTCCTTATTTTTGTAAAATTGAATTAAATAGGACCTTTCCGTTAAATTAATGAAATGACGTTAAATGTTGTATCAGATACTGTCAGCATACCAGGTGATACAACACTTAACGTCGTTTCATCAATTTAACGGAAATGTCCTATTTGATTCAATTTTATAAAAATAAGGACCCAGTTGAAACGTCGAAAAAGAAAGAGTCCTATTTGAAATTCTGAACGAAAAGAGGAACATATCGAAACATTAAACCTTTAATCTTAATATTCAAAGTGAATCTAAGCACATTGAAGTTTTATTTTAATTTGCTATGAAAGTTATGATAAATAGTCCTCCACATGTCTTTTATTGAAAAAGATATTTTACATGATATAATTTTTTTTATAGTAGTTTGAGAAAAAAAACGCATTTAATTTTAAAAGTGAAACCATTTCACTGAAAAAAAAGACTACTCTTTAGATAAAAACATTAAATGGTTTGAATATTCACTTTTAACTTTTGAATTAATAGATTTTAATTAATGTTTTTTTCTACTACCTTCTTAATTCTTATTTTAAAAATATATTAAATTTAAAATACCATAAAAATATTAAAACCACATGATGAAAATCTTAAAACTATAATAATTAAATTTTAAGATTTGAATATTCTATAAAATCACTACCAGCATTAACGCACGCCAAAACCGACAAGAACAAACCTGAATTTTAGCGTGTGCAATGCTATGGAGTGCCATAACCTCGTAGGCACAGTGTCGCAGAACTGCTCCAACTTTCACATATTGTAACCATGGATATGAAATGTGCATGAATTTACCATGCGGTGGCTCCCATTTTGCCGATTGAGCCTTGCAGTCAAAGAAGATATATAGACCAAAAAATTATTTTCAATCCGACAGTGATGGAAACTGAAACCTGAAAAAGTGGTGCAATCTCAATGAACACATACATACCAGAGTCTCAAACTTTGACCCTAAATCCAAGGTGCTTTGGCATCTCATATAAGCTGGTTCATCATCAAATGTACCTATGCTTCCCATGGGGATTTTTGACTTCTCCGACGCGTCTTCTAAATATTTCTTGGTACATTCTGACGTCGTCAAAGACAGAAAAATAAATATCATCATATTGTTAGTAACTGATCTTTCCATAGACGATAATCGAAAACATATTATACTAATAAATCTATACATAAAAAATTAACGTTACCTTCAATCTAAAACGGTTAAATAGTAAAAAAAAATAGTGATAAAATCAATTTAAAATATATTATAGAAATCTCGTCTTGTTTGTTTTATAAGATTGAATTAAATTTAAATTTCACTTCTTAAGTGTATCAGAGTTATGATTTAAAATTTATCTTAAAAAAAGTTATTGTTTGTTGAACATATTTTTTCAGTACTGTCGAACCATTTATTAATGTCGAGTATATTTCAGCGTGAGAAAAGTGTCTTGAAAATCTCAACGGATAATAAACTCAATTTAAAGTATATAAATGAATGCAAACCTTATCTTTGTTTTATAAATTAAATTAAAAGTAGATCTACAGTATCCTTCTTAACAAAAAAAACCCTTTTTATTGTTAACTTTTATATGCAAATTAACTAAAATAATATATCTATTCCGATTCAAAGTTTCAGAATTAATTAATTGGTTAATTTTCCAGTTTTGTTGGAGCTTACCCTCGAGAGAATCTGCTACTGAATGGAAGTTTTTGACCAACTCTTTATGCAGTTGGTCCCCAGCCCATATAGGGAAAATACAGACATTCACCAACACAGATATCGTTCCTCCAATGGCGATTGAGTACAGGCGATCGATCATAATCCTAACTGGGTTACCAATTCTATAATCAGAGACTACGATCAAGCAATAGGTCAACAGTGTCACCCTAAACCCGTACTCATACTGCACAAGTGGTGCCCACATTTTCATGTACGATGTTATCACCGCTGCATAATCAATCATATGATTAAAACACACCCTACATACACATTCCTCTTAATTATATGAAAATTTAGACAACATGTCATTGCAATTACCGATCATGAACATGCTAAGGCCAAGGATAATAGGCTCAGCGACATGACCACACGACAGTGCTGTCTCAGCAACCACAACAGCCAAGAATACAGCCACCAAGGTTCCTACTGCTCGATTAAATCCTCGATTAAATGTTGCTCCTTTCAATTCACAACCATGTACCCATCAAAATTCAGTATGAAAAGTATGCATTTAAACATTGATACAAGTCATACAATGAATTATTCTGTATAAATTTATAGCCACAACGATAAAGTACAACATACCAACAGTGTCATCGAAGACAAGGATAGCAGTGAGAACAGCCCATATCATATTCGACCCGAAGACTTGATATGGGGCTTCAAATAATACGAACAAAGACACAAGAAGAACAGTTACCCCAACTTTTAGTGCAAATATTTCTCTGCCTGTGTCTTCCTTGCAAAATTTCCACACACTCAGAATCTGAAGCCAAATTCTTTTGGCATGCAGCTCAGGTTTAGTAGGTGTACTTGTTGGAATGTTGATCTCAACGCTCTCCATTTTTTGGTCCATTCGTCACAACCAGTGCAAGAAAATTGAGTGGTGGACACCCTATAACAGAAAAATAACAAGTGTTATTGAGATGTTTGAAACAGAAAAGTGTTGATAAAAATTACTAACCCTGTAAAAGAAGTAACAAGGATGAATGGTGATGGAAGAAACGGAATGATCTTAGCAGAATAGATGAACATGATATATATATATCGAATAGAAGATTCGATGCCATAGTAATTATAGAGAAGCATTGGAACTGAAAACAATATCTATATATAGAATATGCTTAGTTAGCCTGAACAATACTCCATGCATGCATGGATGAAGAATTAGAATCGAAATTTCATGCAAGTTTTTTCAAAGATTAGCTCAAAAGAGACAGAAAAAGTGAGTAAACTTATTACTGCATGTCTCTGTCTGGCTATCCTAAAAAACTTTCTACTTCCATCGCTTACGCAGATCACTAATGACCACACACGTTTTCAGTGGATCACATTGCATTATATTGAGTTTCTACGCATACAATTCTTGTGGAATTTTTATTCCTTCAATAAACAAGTTAACCTTTTCATAACAATGGTATCGAATGATAGTCTTGCAATGAACAAATTACTTAAAGTTCAAACAGATAAAGTTCCTTATTTTAGACTTTCTGAAAAAAATTCAAAAAAAAAAATAGTATTAATAAAACTCTGTTAATATTATTTACAAAATTATGTTTAAAAATAAAATTTAATTAAAATATTGAGTGACTGTTAATTTTTATAAATACTAAAACTAATAATTAATGAATTAAGAAAATTTTCCACAAATCTTAATTTTCAAATAGATAATTTAGAATAATGTTATCAGTATAAACT